GTACAACCCCCTCGACAGCCTACCACAAGGTAACGTAAACTTCCTTATCATTGGGAATTACTACATTATAAATGAGAAGCGATTTTGGAAGTCAGAGGAAAAGCATCGATTTAGAAGGGCGGAGATCCACCGGTATCACCCACACTTTCGAAAAGCCAGCATTCCTTTCCGTAAACTTAACGTTAGTGGACGTTTATGTGGCTGACTCCAGGTGGCTAGAAACAGTTTTATAAGACTCTGATCAGCTGTATTCAGGGAGCCTAAAAACCAGCTTTGCCTCTTTGTAGTCGAACATTTCTCACAGTTGTTGACCAGAGTATTCAAGTTTGAATTAGTGGGCGTGATATGACAATCGCTGTTCTTATGCTCATGTTATGGGGAAATTCCATTAAATAGTTTTTGAGGAAGGTCTCAAAGCTCCTAAGTGGTGCAGAATGATGATAATGCAAAGTTTATCGTTGATCTATCAGCTATGCCATGACACTGTTCATGACAAGAACCCTAACAGCCAATAGCTGATAATCAGAATGCAAAATGTTAATAAAAGTTATGTTTACTCGCAATTTACAAGCTACGTGGAAAATCACAAGAATCAACACCAGCTGTAAAATAGTGAAATGGTTTGTTTTCATTTGCAGCGGCGATTTGATTGATTTTAATCCTGACTCCCTCCGGACTCAGAAAAGCGTAGACATCAGCTATCCTGATAATGAAGACGATATACGTATGTACCTAGTAAGGAGGGGAGGGGTAAGGGAGGAGTAATGAAGGAGTAGGGGAAAGGGAGGACAGGGGTGGGACATGGAGGGATGTTAAGTCAGTGATTCTAAACTTATTTACCGCCAGACACCGTAGTCGTTTTGTGTGGAGGTTGTTAAGATACCAGGTTCGCACAAGTTCGTAATGTGTAGCATCGATGATATTGAAGTTCTTCGCATTCTTCGAGCTCTTACCAGTTTTAAGCTATTCTCAGCTGTTGATTAGAATGAAAACCTCAGTGTAAGATAAAAACAATTATTAACTAAGGTGTATTCTTAACAGCGGAAATGATACCTCTAAAAGACTAATAGAGCATTGAATCTGTTTTAGCTGAAGATCCTCGAAGCCAGGTGCTTGAATTGGAAAATGAACTAGAACTTCAGCAGCAGCAGATTAAGGATCTTCAATCAAAACTTGAACAAGAAAGGAAAGTTCGCGAAATGCTGGTGTTGCGGTTAGCAGACGAACAAAGAGCGCGGTAAGTTGTTGGCTTGGTGCTTTGTACTGCTGAAGATCTTCCATCATTAGTAGAGGAATCGTGAACGCGATAACCCCCTCCTCCCCCCCTCCCTGAATAAGTTCGTGTCCTTTCTTTAATCTTCTAACAAATGTTACCCTTTTAGACAAAGCAGTTGATTACCAAGTTTAAGCTGACTTTTTTAAGGGGGAAGGACAGGGAAAACAGACATGGTAAACCAGATAGTCATTGTACTCTTTAGGGCTATAAAGAAAGAAATTTCTAAAGTTAGTGACTTTTAAGCTCTCCTGCTAGTTCCTTCAGCCAGAAAAAATGTACCATTGAAATTGCTCGTTGTTTAGGGACATACATATACGTCTATAGAAACTGAAACTAAATCTGATACACGTCCACGGGACGACATACTGTTACTTTAAGGGTTTCTCGAAATTTAATCATGTTTTGAAGGTGCTTGTGTTTTGCAGCATCAAATCCATGTTCAATTTTCATGGTGGATTTTAATTGCTCCCGAAAATCTTAATGATTTGTTTCCCTTGTTCAACAGAGAGTCTGCTGAGGACCGTCTGGAAAAACTGCAAGCCGCTATGGAGGAATTTTGTGCCAAATATGGCAGTTGGGAGCCAACTAATAGTTAGACTTCATTGTGTTGACATTAATCAATGTATGTCTCTGAAATATCTGTTGTTTCAAAAAGTTTTATCACTCAGGCCATGGCTTGCCGTACGCAATGGACGGTGTAGCAAACGGGAAAGCCACATACAAAACCCAAGATGAAGTCGCGTGAAGTTTAGATGGTTGTCTCCTTCGCAGTCGTAGTGTACTCTCACTCAGCACTCTCTGTGCCCCCCCCCCCCCCGAGGGTTTTGCGCGATTAAGGAACTGCATTGATGTTTAGCGTCAATGCTTCGTATAACTTAATTTAAGTCCTGAGTAAAGTTAGATTAGTTAGAAATATTTCATTTTAATGACAAAGAAATATTGATCTGAAAATCATCATATTGCCTGATTTAATTCAGCTGATCAATCCCGAAAATTTCGAGAAACTAGACCGAATTCGATAAATGCATCGATAATCAAAATCGCTCAGAATCTCATTGTGCTAGCTAAATAGAAAGATAGAAGGATATCTTTTTGGGGAAGAAACTCCTATTGATCGCCGTGGTTTAAAAATGTGATGGGGCAAATGAAATAAGGAAAGGATACGCGGGAAAAATGTATTTTGAGACGGTTTTAAATTTACTTTTCCTCTGCCTTTTCGTTTTTGAAAAAGAAATGCAGCCTTTAATCACTGTGTATATCTATTTTTGTACAAAAATTCTCAAGTTTATTTTATACGAAAGGTTAACCATCGATAGGGTTAATTCCTAAATGGGGTCATATAGAAATGGTTAAGACTTGTAGGGAGGTTTATTCGCAATCTTCAGCATACTCCGGAATTCTGAATTTGTAATTGCTGCTATGAACGAACACTTGTTTGTTACACGCGCCTCAATCTTACACAGTTAAACCTCCACAGGTAATCATAGCAATATTAGTTCAACTTACATGATGATTATGGCCCTAAACCCTTGATGGAAATTTAGTCGTTCGTAACCCTTGGAATTAAAAGAGCTTCTATGTACTGGAAAGTGTGGAAGTCTTGATTTATAATGGTAATTGCACTGAGTGGAGTGCAATTTAGGCTGAAATCATACGCGTGATTTCAGACCAAAATTGCACGACACTAGGTTCAATTACCACTTTATTACATCCATTTTGAAATCGCCCAAATGTAGGACTTGGTCAGTTCAAATATTTTATCGATGCAGTACTGAGCCGGTCTGAAATTAAATTCATGTCCATTTTGGGGGGGGGGGGGGGGGGGATAAGAGTTAAGAAACAAAAAAGGCAAAATTTGTCACATGATACTCCTTGTCTTTCATTTTCCTGCAATTTGATCGGTTACTTTAAACAAGCCTTGAAATCTGATTGGTTGTTTTGTTTTTTTTCCTCGTTGGCTGGGAAAAAGATACGATTTAAAGCAAAAAATGGTGCGATTCGTGAATAAATCGCATCAATTAGAGCCAATCAGATTACAGGAACCACCAGTGATTTCAAAATAAGTGTAATAAAGGTTTTAACTTGTGTGCCCAAATTAAATTAGGGCCCTGAAAAGCGCACTAAATCGCTCAGATAGGCACGAGCAAATGTTTAAAACAAGTGATGACGGTGATGGAATTTCGGAGTTTTTGACCTAGTTTTTACTAAGGGAAGGTTTTTTTTTCTCTCGTACCCTCTGATGTACAGCCATTTATCCAGTCAAGAACGTGGGCACGCGAAGCATGCAAGAGTTATTTTTTGGCAGGGGTTGAGATGGGACACTGTGTACCTAATGTTTTCATTTTTGTAACAGAAAAATAGCATAACTTTCAAAAGAACAAAAATATCGCATCATTTCAACTTAAGAGAAAGGGCAAAAAACCTAATTTATCTGAACTCACACAGGTATTTTGTGGTCTATTGTCTCTATTGTCTGAAGACTTCTAAGTAAAAATAAAATGCATCGGTGCTACGCTCATTCTCCTTTGCAGCAGTTGTTTGGTCTCGTCACACAACGCCGTCTACTCCCCATTGGAGAGAGAGCGCGATGCGTGACGAGACCAAGTAACGGTTGCAAAAGGGACTACGCTTGCTGCCGTTCCTCTAACAGAGAGAAAATCAAAATTATTCGTCATCAGTAAGTTGCCTCGAAAATGTAACTCCACGTAATTTTACTCAGAAAAGAAAACTGAAACTCTGCTCTATCTTTGATAGACCCTAAGATATACGGTAATCTCGAATAGGTGAAGGTATATTGAACAAGAAAAAAGGATATCATTTCAAAGAGGGCTCCTTAATTGGTTGTTGCCTATCTGGACTTTGCTCTGTGTGTGAAATACGTGATAAAATTTAGGCTGTTCAAAAGGAATTAACACGTGATTGGGTCTAGCCCAAGGTAGCTAAAAGCGAATTCATCCGTTGAAAAAGTCAAATCGAGGGAGAATTGCGTGGAAAATTCACCATCAGTGACATGTAGTTCCAAGTGAATTTTTTGCAGTGGGGTTGAACAATGCGGTTAGAATACGTGGTAATGGAAGTTGATTGGTGAAATACAATTCAAGCACGTGAAAAATTACCTAGTGTTCATGTAGTGCAATGATTGGGTATGTTCTAATTGGACTTTGGACGTAGTTTTCACGGTACGTGATAAAATTTAAGTTATTTGGCGTGTGCGTTTCGAGTAAAGGTGCTGAAAAAACACGGTTTTACTTAAAAAGTATACAAAAAATTGCGAACCTTTAATATCCCGATAAATCTTGACCTTAATCGACGTGGCTCTCACGAAGGCCACAAACCATTACACTTATCAAATGAGCCCAAAATTTCTGGTTTATGTCATTCTTTGTGCACAGCCCCTGATTCCATGACATCATTTATAAGAAATACCCACTAGCTGAGAATGGTGCAAGATATCCAAATTCTGTGATATGATTGGTATGAAATGGATACCCTAATGCGGCGATCTGATTAGTGCGAGCAATATGCCACTCTATAGTCTAACATAGAGTTTTTTCTTTTTTTTTTAACAGAACAAAAATAACTCAAAAACGTATTCGTAAATTGTGGTCTTACCCTTGAATGAGCAAGTTTCCTTTAGTATAAATGTATTGATCGCTCACAAGAAGACGACCTTTGTTGTTCATGTCGTAAACTTAGAGGATTCAAGAAGGAGCAGAGACCTTTACACAATGTTTTTCGATATTTTATTTCATTGTTGGTTTGTAACCGTTTCTTGTACATGCGAGACGGTACAAGCGCGTACTATTCCTCTGAATAAGTTACGTATGGCGAGTACTGTGTGGAAATGATACACTAACAATGAACGTTGTTCAATTAATTTATAGTTATTTAAGTTCTTTTCCGTGTATGAATAAAAATATGCGTTGATAGATGTCAGACGAATACTTTGAACGATATATAAAACATGCTTGGTTTTCCTTACAAGTTTCCTAACAATCTAACTCGACTTTCATTACTTGAAAGACGCTATTATTTTCTAACAATAAAACTACAATAACGATTAAATAAAACTTAACTTACATTTAAACTAACGCGGCATAACATCGCCTACATAACAATTCGTATGAGAACACCAAAGGGGGTATTCCCGTGTATCATACGGACGGAAGATTGGAGTCATGACTGTTCCCCTGGTGATATCCGGGTGGTGTACCCTGCCGAAATGAATACAAAATAGGCACAAAATGAGTCGGTGTGTCCACTGTTGTTGTTTAGATACGAGTGATGAAGATTTTGAATGTAGCAGATGTAGCATAGCTTACTCGGCGGGCCATGAATAAATCCCACCGAATGAATTATATCACTGTTAGTATGGTCCACAGCAAACAACAGTTTATTGGGATACGGTATTAGTCATTGAGAGTCATCTGATTAGCTGAGACAGAGAATGTGTTCTGAAAAGAGTATGATCACTTGATCTTGGTTGTCTAGGAGCGCGTAGTCAGGAGTAAGATGGTATGCCGCCTAACACGAGTTTTGCAAATAAGACGGTCAGAAAACACAACGCATCCGAGTTTTCCTGAGCACAGTTATTACATCAAAACATGAAAAGAAAAAACATCAACAACAAAAAACAAACAAACAAAAAGACAAGTGTTTCGCTAATAAACATTTTTTGATGCCCACGTCCTAAGCCTATATTTGGTAATGTGATTAAATCTTACCTGTCTTTGTGATGTGCCGTTTTGGAATGGAGTCAGGTTTGTAATGTGTGGCATCATCGATATTGAAGTTTTCGCATTCTTCGAGCTCTTCCCAGTCTTATAGCTGTTCTTAGCTAATTGATTGGAATGAAAACCTCCGTGTAAGAGAAAAATAAACCTTCAACAGGTAACTCTTAACAAATACTAAAGAACATAAAACAGCAGCTAGAATAAGAAAACCGACAAAGCAGTAAAAAAATGTTTCACTACCTCTTAAAGTAGCGCGCTGTTCTTTGCATTCATCCATGAAATGTAAAGTCAAATTTAAGTTTTTTTCGTGTGATATTTCAGTTCAATCGAGGTTTTGTTATGTGAGCATCGGAAAACACTATGCTACCAGAAGAGGAATCGAAGTTAAGAAACAAGAATGCAGTCAATATCTGCTTAAAGAACACCATTTGCGATCAAGTTGTCGCACAAGTTCCAACATCGAGAAACTAAACCCCACTGACAGCACATCATTAAGCCCTGAGAAACGAATGCATCATCCGTAGGATCTTGAGGTCGACTAGACTATTTACGGATACTTCTTAGTTCTTATGCTCCATACCTTCTGCTCCTGGCACATCAGGTAGATGTGGAAATTCATTCTCTCCTCTTGGCCGCTCCCTTTCTTTTTCCTTGTCTTTATCACGTTTCTTTTTATAGTTCGACTCTATTGATGACCTCTCACCATGTCGGCTGCCGAGATCGAAGTTACTTGAAGTTTTTTGCTCATAATAAGAGTCAGGTGAGGGATATAACGTGGTGCTGTGGTGGTTTGGAGGGGGACCTGTGCTCTTTTTGGAGTATGACGGGGGAGTCTTCTTCACTTTGCTGTCGTTAGCAACCCTGAAAAAATAAACAGTAGATGACTCAAACCATGATAATGATGCAAGTTATAGCTACCGGTAAGTCCGTTATTACTCTTCTGTTTGCGCAGAAGAAAATCGTATAAATGATCTGGATAATTTGGTTGAGCGGTTCATTTGCTGAATCTTTTCGTTGCGACCAGATGCAGGAATTTACATAGGTTTGAATTTGTGCGACTTATTGACTTGTTGAAGAGAGTTGTTACTGCGACTTATTTGGAAGCAGTTCACACAAAGCGGCTTATCGCAGAGACCAGTCGCTGCAACTTGTCACCTGGTGAGTAACGACTAAAACAATTTTTGCAAACATGAGATCAAATAAGAAATGATGAGCAAAAACAGAAAAATAATTTACCTGAAGGGAGGCGGCCCAGGTGGGGACTCATGCCGAGGTCCAACCACACCCAATCCAATATTTGTCTTCGATAAACTTATTGTATGTGAACTTCCACCTTTCGTCGATGTTCCCTGCGAAGACGTGACTGATCCAATCGAGCCTTTTAACAATGTTGTCACGGACGATTCCTGTTGAGTCGGCGGTGAATTTCTAAGTGTACTAGCACTTTGTATAGGAGACAATTGTTTACCGTGAGGAAGACCGGTAACAAAAGTGTCGAGTGGTGTAGGTGGAGCCGCAACTCCTGCTGTCCCACTATAAGATGTCGGTACATTTGATGTGGAGGCTCCCGTGGTAACATGCAGAGTGTGCGGCGGTGAATTTACTTGATGGTTTGTCACCGGTAATGCTGCTACCTCTTGCTGTAACACAGAAGAACTTTGCGATGTCGATGGAAGTAATAAAGTCTTCTTGCTCTGTTTCTCCAGGCCTGTCGTTTCCTTGTGATCCTTAGACTCCTTATGTTTCTTAGGTTCTTTAAGAACTTCTCTCGTTTCTAATCTCTTTGCCTCCCTGGATTCTCTCGCTTCTTTGTCCCGTTGATCTTTCGCTTCACGTTCCTGGGCAGTAAAAGCAAAGTTAGGCTCCCTTAGTTTATATGAACCTTAAATTTACCATTCGAACTCAATTTTCGATGCTTAATTTTTCTATTTGCCACAAAGATTGGGAAAATAACATTGCATTATTGATTCAACAGTCACTAGCATATAAACTTGAGTCAGTATTATGAGATCCATTCACGTTACACACTTATGATATTATATTGAAAAGGTCATAAATCTACCTTTGACTTTAATTGTTCATAAGCGAATCCCAATAACTCGAACTGATTTTTTTTACCTATGGCTAACCTCCGTATTTCAAGTAATTTTACCGATGTCGATAACCAAGCCTTACCCTTTGTGGAATACTCGACTGACAACGCGCCACCATAACTCGAAACATAGTCGCTACAGTAAATGGCTTGGAAAAACTACTCAAGACCTGACTAACAACTAAAACACGGAAGGTTAATGACGGTCGTTTCAACTAAAAATCAATTTAATGAGAATGATATACAATCACCTTCTCCTTTCTCCTTTTCCTCTTTGCTTTTTCCTCCGCAGATTCATCTCTAGAATCATGCCTTCCATTCAGCGATCTCAGTAGCGGATTTTCTGCAGTTTCTTTAGTTATTTTTACTTTAAGTTCCTGAGCAAACTTCTCGCCAAAATTATCTTTCTTGAAAAGATCATGTTTTAGAAGCTTTGAACAGTCTGGTCTATCTGCTGGGTCCATTTTGAGACACAGCTGGAACAAAAACGAAATTGGCATTCGTCAGTAACAGCCAGTAATTAAAAGGCCCTTTAAACATCAGGGAATACGGGACAACTACTCTGCAGTGGCCACATAAGGGGAAGGAGGAAGGGGGGAGGGAAAAGAGGAAGACCATGAAAATGCTTAGTGAACAGTAAGTAAACCAATCAACACACGTCAATAGGAAACCAAAAAAACTTAACAAAACAAAACAAGTAAGGTACCTTGAGTCTGTCAGTTCAAATTACATTCCTACCATTTTCAATTCTACTGCTAGGGCTAACACGTCAAGGCTCTCAGTCGGAGAAACCAAGCAAAAGAGCAGGTGAGTGACAAACGGTGGTTATGGTAACAAGGGAAACGGTTTTACTTTCCCTGACCCCATCTTCTTTCACGTGCCTGCTCTTTTGCTTGTTGTTTGCCGTTGTATGTATTGTATGCAGAGAGGTACCCTTCGATAGAGGTACGACTGTACGTTAGCAAATATTGAAGTACAAGAGAATTTCAGCGAAAAAGTTTTTTCACACCCGCCCGGCGCGCTTTGAGATAAACCTTCAATTTAAAAGCCCTGGTTTTTACTTCTTACTCTTAATGTAACAGACACAAGATACGTAGTAAGTGCCAAGGTAAAGAACTTTCAACTTCTGGCCGCCGTCAACATCACAAAAATATATCTGCTTAAGCTACCCCAGTGTTCATACATTGACAAGTTCAACGGAACACGATTTTCACGATCATGATGACCTGAAGTATTTAAAACTTTATGCCAGCGTAACTCACCTTAAGAATGTCCATTGCAGCAGATGACACTCGATGAAATCGTTTCTCGATTGGCTCCACCTCCTTTACTTCTGGCAACTTCATACCAACAAATAAGGGATTTCTGTGGAAAATTTCTCGATGTCTGTTTGTCAGATTACCTGTAAAAATACATTTGACCTTGCTTAACAAAATTCTAACTTTTATCTGGGACACTTCAAATGAAGAAGGTAAACGGGCTTGCCTCATGCATTATTAGCAAACCTGGCTTGAACAATACATTACTTTACCTTCTGATACACTGTAGAAATACATGAATGCATTATATAAATGGTTAGTAATTTAAAATAACCACCAAGGTTTCAACAAACTCTCAAGGTTCATATTGGCTATAGTGTATTTTTATGAAATTAACATAGCGGTACTTATTTGACCAGTGTCCTCAAAAGAAATGTACATTAGGGAGCTCTACATGGTGAAGTGTCAGTGTATGACACATGACATACAATGACATGCAGCTCCTTTCTCTCTCCATACGGGAGCATAAAGAAAGCTGTAATTGCTGGATTGGCAGAGGGGCACCAAAAAGGATTTCAGGAAATCACAGTGGCAGATCCAACAAAGTGCCTCCTTTATTTGTTGACCAAAAGTGAGGCCAACAGTAGCGTGCTGTCAAGCTAATTTGTCTCATACAAGAAATCTTACGTTTTTAAGAGTAACCCACCCCTGAAGGTCTACACTGCCAGTTGCATCCAATTTTGCATTATTTAACTGTGGAAATACACATTGATTACTTCAAACTAATTGTTATCAGACCCAACATGAGTAAGCATGTGTTTAGTGACAAACTCAACTCACCAATCTTTGTAATGATAAGATATAGTTGGTCAATATCTGAGTCCCCAGGAAACAGAGGTTCTCCTGTTAACATCTCTGCCAATAGGCATCCCACTGCCCACACATCTACAGCTCTGTATAAGAAAACATATTTATTAGAGTCCTATGAAGAAACAGATTTATTCAATTTTTTTTTTTTAAGGGGGGGTGGGTTTGGTTCACATTGGTGTTAAAGAAAAAAACAAATTTTTCCATGTTTAAGCACATTTAGTGCAAAAATGACAGGTCACTATTTTTAGCAAACTAAGTTTTAACAAGAGTGTTGAGACCTCAGATTGTTGGGTGGAAAGAATGTTCTTGGTAAATAAATTTGTTTGTTACTTGTTACCTGCCGTATTTTGTATCTCCAACAAGTAACTCTGGAGCTCTGTACCATCTGGTGGCAACATAATCTGTATAAGCTTCACCAGGACCAGTAGCTGTAACAAACAACATACAGATGTTTTATGCACATCATGACACTTATTTTCTATATTTCTTGTGGTCTGATCATCTTAGATACTAGTGTCTAGTTTGCCAGAGATTGTCGTTATGAAAGACCCCCTTTTAACTGGAAAACAGTTTTCTACCTCCATTTATGGTAAAGCAATGTACATACACATATGACATTTATCCTACACAATGCATTTGATTTTCAATAGATTGAAAATATTTTAAAGGAACAATCAAAAATATTTCTAATCAGTTGAGATATATTAATAACATTAGCTATACAAACCTAAAGTTCTAGCAAACCCAAAATCACACAGCTTCACAACACCAGACTTGGACACCAAAATATTCTCTGGTTTTACATCCCTATGGATGATCTAAAAAAAGAAACATTGTAAGTAAATGTGCATACCAAAGATGCCGTTACAATGTACTTATTTATAACCATGGTAAATGACAAGACAGGTGACCTATGAAAATTGTGATGGGATTATTAACATTAATCAAGTTAAGGGTGATTACAGAAGTGAACTACAAATAGAGCAAATCATAATCATATTCAACTTAGTAATTAGTTTATTTAGAATTAGTTATATGAGTTTCACTATTGGGCAACAATCTAGGCCAAAATTGTACCTGGTTCCAAAGCCTAACTTCAGTTTATTTGATAAAAAGATTAGCAAGCTTATTCTTGCCAATTTTAAATCTGGCATCATTTAACAAGAAACGCTTTGTCTCATTGTTATATCCTGTTACATAATATCTAAATCCCAGATTATCCTGTCTCTGTCATCATTTTTGGAGTCAAAGTGCAAAAAGAGGACATAATTAGTGATCAGTGGGCCCCTACTGACATTTGAGGAGCATGTACCATGGAAAATTCAATCGGTATAAAACATGTAGGTCATGATGCTGTAATGAAAATATGAAGTTTGATTACAAGGTGTGATATATACTCATTATCTTTAATGTATTTTTCTTCTACTATGCCAACTTACATTATGAAGGTGGCAGAACTCAATGGCCCTCAAAACTTGCCATAACACTTTCCTCACATTATTCTCTTCTAAGCCATTAGGATATCTTTCTAGTTCATCAAGAACTGTATGATCCACAAACTCAAACACAAGGAAGAGTCGCTTCTTACGACGAAAAACTTCAAGCAAATTAACAAGGTTGTCATGTCGTAATTGCTGAAAAGGAAAAACAAGAAATTTCAACATTTAGAAAGTACATAACTTTGACAGAAATTCTTCAACATCCCTAACAAGCTCAATTTACAATTGAAACACATAATGCATGCTTTAAAGGTGCATAAGGGGGAAGGAGGATCCTTATTTCAAGGCTAAAAATAGGAAAATATAACTATGGTAAATATACATGTACTTAAACCTTGAAAATTTTCTTTTGAGTTTGAAAACTGGCATATAAAGGGTTAGACTTGGCAAGAATGATATCAAACAGTTCATGGCACTACAGCAGTACATAAGTTGTTCAGCTGTTTTGTTCACCTGATGATTCTGTTCAATAAAAATTGTTTAATAAAATGGCTCTAAAAGTTCTATTTACAATTAGTGACAACAAACACCTAATAAAATCACATTTTGAAGGGAAAAGATGGATTATCAACAATTGTAGATTGGTAGATATAGGCACTTGTTATGTGCCTGCTGTACCTTCTTTCTAGAAAGGCCATAAGCACTATGTTATAGTGTTGTGTAGGTCCTTAAACCTTCCACCAAAACCCTCACGGTTTTCAAACTGATGGACAAGTGTGAGACACTCGTAAAAGTAACATCTCTTGTGACTTGTCCTGGTTCAGCTACAACACTAGCCATCTTGAGAATGTTAACATATTACTATCCCCCTTAATAGTGCAATTTGGAAATTTTTCAAAACAGCAAGACAAACCACAAAAAGCAAAATGCACAAGGATTATTCAAGTAATTTTTAGTTCATTGGACTTATTTTCAAAAACCACTTTCTGCAGCTACCTTGAATGTTCAATGCCTACATTTCTCGATAACCTTTTTAAGATTCAAGAAATATGTGCATGTTCCTTTGAATAAATTATTTACCACTAACCATTGTTTACCAGCAGGTAAACCAAGCAGAGACAATTGTCACTGACCAACAGGAATGAGATAATTTGTTGAGTACATTATACAATATATAATATTTAATAAGATAAGTTATTGTTTCTTTAGAGGGCACGGTAACGAATCTTGCAATCTGATTGGTTCTTTACCCGGTCAGTATTTTCCTATCTCTGCCCACGGGCCACGGTAACGCTTTCGTGACTCGTCGAGTACATCCCAACTTTCGTTGTCATTTTTTCATAAATACACCTCGTTTTCCAGCTGGGCAGTATTTTTAAGCAAACACGTCGGTCACTACCTCAAGCCGATTAATAACCTATGAATCCTCCCTTTTCTCTCTATCAAATCACTTTGGTTGACAGAAAAATATTGGTTTCAGAATGAATTTGTATAAACAATAGTGTCATTACGTTGCTTGACAAGGGGCCGTTAATTTTAATCGTTCACAAAAAGTACCCAGAAAGTTGAAACGTGAGGTATTAGGTTACAGTTAAACTGAACGATGGAACTTTCATTCATTTAATATCTGAATTTTCTCGAGCAATTTGTTCATAGTGAAAGAGCGAGGGAAGTTTTAATTTAAGTTCTACAACAAATATACGCTCCTGGTGAGTCTTTCCAATTCCGTTCAATTTGGACATTTGTACCTTAAATTGCACAACAGAAGTTGAAGGAATTTTTTGAGAAAAGGCCGCATTACATTCCCTTGTGTCTCGTTGGAGTGTGCCGTTCGAATTTAGTTTTTGGGAAGGAAAGATCAGAGTTAAACATGCCATTATAGCAAACAAACAAGCAAACTCTCACAACTTCAAATAAAAAAATTGAATTTACTCACAATTACTTTCCTCGCTGTTTACTTAATGAACAGAGGTAAATCTTCATACATGAATGAATGGTCGATGAGAGTGAATAATACTTTCTGTTAGATCATTAACTGATTTTGAAGAAAACATTGTCGTGACAGTCCTTGCCAAACTAGTTCTGTTTGTTTTCAAATGTTCCTACGCTTTTTTTTTTCTTGCGCGCTCTCTAATTGACAGGTGTCAGATTGTGACAGATACTTATAAAAATAATGTTTCAAAGTTTGGTTGGAAGCCTTTTAAATCACCTTTATCGTTACGGAAATAAAAATGTTTCGCTGAGGCATCTCTCTTAAATTTGCATCACCTCTATTTTAACTACCATTTACCCACTCAAAAATTGTTCAGTTTATGGAAGATCTTGCCGTATTTACGTCCATAAATCATTCGGGTTCTTTCGGAAAGAATTTCGTCAAGTTTAAAAACAATAAATATGTTATTTACCGGCTAAGGGTCGGTCCGTATGGTGAAAAACTGTGACCTCGGTCTTGAAAATGCTGCCCTCTGCAGTATTTTCAAGACCTCGGTCACAGTTTTTCACCATACGGACCTCCCAGCCGGCAAATAACATATATTTATTTCACATGTTATTGCAAATACTGAAGAAAAAGGGAAAATTAAATCAACTGACAAATTACAGAGTGCACATTGATTACCAGATATAGCCAGTAGATAAAATTACCACCTTCTTCTCTTACAACTTGCCATTAATATATTTTAAGGTGTTCATAATGCACAACAAATTAAACTGTCCCAACACAGATCAAGTACTGTGTATTAAGTTTATAAGAACAGCAAACTAAGCAAGGATTTACAAGTATAAAGATTGAAGAGAGCGATATCTGATATCTTAAATTGGCCACATTCTCAATAAGAAGAGAGGAAACGGAAATTCATCGGAAGTTTTTTAGTTGAGATGTTGCACTATTTATTATTCCACTTTAACAGCCACAGAAGAAATGTGATCATTTACAAATTTACAAAATTAGTTGAAGACGCCAAGAACCTATTAAATGGATCACGATAGCGACAACACCACTATTTTTCCAACATTATCCCCGGAATTTTGGCTTGAAGTTTATTTACAAATATTCAAGTTAGGTAAAAACTAAACAATTGGGTAAAATTTCCGCACAGACCCAGACAACACTATGCATTCAGTTCTTGGATAGAGAAAAACAATGACAAAAATAATACATTGCTATTGGGAAAATAGATTTGTTTTACAACGGTATGGGGCTGTGAGGAAATTTTACCAACAGTTGTCTTGCATCATAACTGAATTTCCGAAATTTGCAACCAAATTTAATTGTTAGTTAGCGAAAATAAAGACGGTCTTTTTCACAAAGTTTCAGCCGCATCACAGTTTGAAATAAAAGAGATTAAAAAGACTTTTGGCGCTGAATACAGCGAACAGTTGACAGTAGGAATCGTTGCATCTTACCGTAAATTATAACCCTAAATATACATGTACACGTTCTATTCAAACAGATGTCACACAGTGTGTCAATATACTGTAAACATGCAAACAGATAAAGCACCTCAAACAAATGGCCACAACTTACCTTCAGCATTCTAACTTCTCTCAATGCTATTTTCTTCACCATTTTATCATCTTCAGACTCGATAAATTTCTTGATAGCCACAAGTTGGTTGGATTCTTTGTGTTTGCATTTCATCACCATGCCGTACGATCCTTCCCCAACCAAGCCAAGATTCTCGTACTTTTCCATCGAGTAAAATCAAGTTATTGCCATGCACGATCGACTGGATGTTCAGTTATATATCTTAGCAAAATTTGGCGAAGGTAGAGAAGAAAATGAGCATTCTAAACCTGTCTTAGGAGGACAATGCGAATAAAATTGAAACAAGCTTACTACCGCTGGGCGCCCAGAGTTCGATAAATTAAACAAAATCGAAAGAAGCCTTCTCTGGTCAACTTGTCTATATCACGCTCTTACAGGCCGACATTTAATCCTTGATACTTTAAGCGCTTAGTGTTCCTCTCTCAAACTGATCCATGTTCCACTTGAAAGTTAAAACTATAACGTAGCCTTACAGCTGCAGTGAAGCATCAAACAATGCAAAACAATGAGAGGGATGTGCAATCGATTTCTCCTACTAAGACCTCCTTTGGCAGTATCACTTCAACGCTAGCTCAGTAATATTCTCTTTCTAAGACAATCCACATCCAACTGGCAATACCGAAGTTTTCTTTCCACAGAAGCTACTTTCTTTGGAACTTATTACACTCCAAATCAAAGCGAAGGTTTACACATGTACCAAAAAAATACTTAATCGAAGTAGTTCTGGGCTGATCCACTCTCTGAACAACCTTTCTGGTGATCACTTATTAGTAAATTCCTTATCCACTCTGAAGCACTACCAAGCTTGAACAAAAGTTATGAGCAATATCAAAACAGTGAAGAATATGAGCAGTGTTCTATACAGATCAGAACCTTTCCGCCATTACGAAGTGTAACAAGTTTTCTCGACAGGACCCCATAAAATGGCTCTTTTTACAGTGTAGCCATAGTAACAACATTGTTTATCACATACTCGTTGCCAGACTCCTTTCTTTAGGTTCCGGCGAAAATGAAATAATTATGTAAGAGTTTTTACGGATGGTTCCCAATGCTCGAAGTTAATTCTATTGAATAACGATTCATAATATTTGATGTCCCTTCCCAAGAACACTGTTTTATTCAACTTTCCTGGGATAATCCGTCGCACGAGTAACTAGAAACTGGCGGAAAAGTATTTGGTTTCCCGGCGAACATTTTATTCAAAAGTTAATCGCTAAACTCTCTCATTTTAGCTGTTCAATTACAAAAAGGAAGATAACGGTTAAGATCTTCGCAAGAATCGCCATCTATCGATTTATGCTGAAAAAGAAAGGAATATAATAGAAGAAAAAGGCCTTCGATCCTCCGTGATCTCAGATGAAATTTTAAGGCTCCAACTTTTCATTCGCTGATGAAAGGATGAATCATTTCCATCTCACGCTATAAAGGAGGCTCACGAAGGTTTAGTTTTTTCTTAACATGTTAATCGTTTGCAGAGAAAAAAGGTTTCAAGTTTTAAAGTAGTGTTTCAGTCACAAAATGTGCATGCGTAACAAGGCAATAATTATAGCAACATTGGGTCCTTGATAACAAAAAATACATAGTCAATTTAATTCATAAATAAAATGAGAAAAAAGATGTACTACATTAAAAGGCAGTTTCCATATCCTTCATATGTATCTACATATTATCATTAGAGAACCCAAAGCCATCATGTTCGATGCATACAAGGTCAAGATAGGATGAAGCCCAAATAGGTCTTAAAAGTTGCGTTCATGTTGTCTTGATGTTAGTCAGTTTCATTTTTCCTTCTATAAGTTTTTTTTATCGGTAGAAACCTATGTCCGTTGCTGTGTGTCTGCAGCATGCCACTTTCATGTTTCAACCCATTACGTGTGCCCCTGCTTCATGCTTTCAACCTATTTCATATTTATATATAGTCATTTGATTGCTATACGGAGTACTCACTATGGAGAGCAGAAGTAAATATCTTTTTTTTTTTTTTCTGCCTCTCAATGAGTCTTCAGACAAGAATATCATCTTTTAGGGGTTTGAAACTTATGATGCACATTTCTTCCCAGATTTCTCTTATTTTGCTTCCTTTCGCAAATGAGAAAAGCCGAGTTATGATTGGTAGAGAACACAATTAGTAAGGTATTGTTGTGAGATCTGATTATTGGAGTGCCCCGGGGGATGGTGGCTGATTCTTGTCCAAGGAAGTTAAATTTAAAGGTCTGTGAGCTAAGATCGTAGACGTAAAGGGAAATTAGCCGTATTAATTCCATGTTATTTTATCTGGCTGGGTTTCCAAACTTCACAGGTAGGAGTTTTGATCATGTGCATGCCTTTACAAGTAGAAAATGCCGTTAACTTCGAAAGGAAATGGCTGCTTTCGAGCATTTTAGTTCGCCTTCGTGCTCCTATAACGATATATGCTCCAATTACGACGAGCGATTGATCGTTTTTGGAGATAATTATAGTAACATATGTGCGCACTTACTCCTCTTCTTTGACTTCTTCAGTATGTTATTGTACCGCTGGTAATTCTTTTGTATTTCACAAGCGGTCAATTCCAGCTCGGTTACGTTTCAGTTTCTTCAAAATTCCTTACCTGGCTGAGTATATAGCTTTGTTGAAATCTTGCTAATTTTGGCTCATGTTTCCAAATCAATCTAGTGCTTCTGATAGTATAAGAAGCTTTGCTGCGTTCATTTCTTTTCTATCAAGTAAATTGTTGGTTGTTGACAAATGACTTTTGTGCCACCTTCTGTAGGGATGTGATATGATCGTTATGATCTTACGGCGTTCGGCTTGTTTAGATTTGATACACCTCACGAGTTCAACTTCGAATCGTTAGCAAGGGTTTTACTGTAGCTTTAATACCAATAAAAGTTTCTTTTAGTGTAAGAATGTGCGAACAGCTTCTTTTTATCAAGTCACGCCTGTGTCAGCTATTATTCAAAGTGCATTACTACAAAGTACAAATAAGCAAATATGTTGACCTATCATCAATGTATTTTGTCGTTGTGGAATATGTACTGTATCTAGCTAGTACACTCTTCAGCTTAATCATTAAAAAACTTTCGAAATATACTACAAAATTGAAAATCATGTTTGATTATTCTGCCCGATAGGGTTTGGTAAAGTTGAATTGACATCACGAAATTTGATTATTAGCGGTTTTGCATTGAACCAGTCTCTACAACCTGTAAATAATTTATAGACATTTAAAGCTTCAAAATTGAGTTATAGCTTTATTGGGTTTTAAATATTCTCAACATGGGTTTTCTGATTGGGTGCACTTTGGAGTAAACAAATTAATTTCATGACATTTTAGCCTACACATTGGATAAATGAAGGAAAAAAATCTTCTTGTTGAGGGAAGTTGCAAATGTTTATTTCAGTCTATTCGGTAGATGGCTTTTTAAATTATTTTGTTTAACCCAAGATAAAAAAAAATGAATGCCCCAGATCAATGTTCATTAAATTGTCTGATCAACAATATCTTTTGTTGCAATGGATCAGTTTGATGTTTTGTTGTTGCTCTGGTGGTAAGAGGGAGGGATAGTGGTTTGATTTGTTTGTTTTTACAATATGATAAATCACCAGTTACTTATTTTTAGAGACCAAACCAAATGTACATCTTCATGAAATCTATAAGATAAGCTTAGAAATAATATCCAGCCTATAAACCAGTGATTATGATTTGCAATTTCCACTAGAATTAATGAGTGCCAAAGAGGGCCTGTGTAAAATGATAATGTGAAAAATTAAAAGAAAGTACTACAGAGAAAAAGTTAATAGAAAATGAAACTTGAAAAATTACAAAATCTTGTATCTGGAAAACCTTAAAGAGGGGTTTCAAAATGTTTTGAAATAGGAGTCAGACTCTGCAACAGTAAGCAACGGTGAAAAATTCATTAAGGACCAGAAGGTAATTATTTTGTCTAAAGTAACCAGCAACTTGTTATCAAGAAGCCAGCAGAACTCCAGCAGTCACCAGTTTGTTTTGAAATCCCTGGGTGTCCTCTTCCAGTGTTGTGTACTAGCAGAGAATTGACGGTATTTCAGCCTTGAATTGGACAGTTAGAGTTTTAACTCCAATCATGAAAAGTGAAACAAGTGTTTTCAGTTGATACATTTCAGGTTTCCACAGAGTCAAGTTACACTGTTCCTTTAACCAATCGAAACGTTGTGGAGATTGACAGTTGTTACATCTCAGGTTTCCACGGAGTCAAGTTACACTATTTCTTTAAACAATCAAAACCTTGTGGAGATTGACAGATTATATCTTTGGACTTTAGGATGTTTTTCGAAGGGCATGCAGACTAATGTGTTGGCCAATAGTGTTCATGGTGTTTTTCAATATCAAAGAAACCTAGAGGTAGACAAGTCTTCCCAAAAAGGTTTACAGAAAACTGGAAGAAGCTATATTACTAGTATCAAAAACAAATTCCCTAACTGAATAAACAGAAACTTGGTTGTAGGAAAAACATTTATGAAAAGAGCATTAGATAATGAAGAGTGTGCTGCGAAATCTTTTGAGTTAACTTCAATTGTTTTTTACTTTCATGTAACAGTTTTTCCAGCATGCAATTCAAATGCAAATGAATATTGTGAAAGCATAATCATGTTGTGAGAATCAATTGCATCCCTATTCACCCAAAGGAGGGTTATATTTATAATTACAGTGCAACCCTCCCTTATAGCCACCTTGATAATATGGTCACCTTCGTTATTACGAAGGTTGTCATTGTCACAGGAACACCAAGATTCTGTCATGTTAGACCATTACTTTTTCAACTTCATTGGTTCCCAATTAGTTACTGTATAAAGTTTAAGATTCTACTTTTGACATTTAAGTGTTTATGTGGTCTAGCTCCTAATTATTTAATTGTTTTGCAAGTTACCTAGTACTAAGACCCATCCAACCCTTGATGATCGTGCATTCCAGTCAGTACACTATATCTTTGGAATGTGTTACCTTTGACAATTTGCAACATAAAGACATTGGACACTTTCAAGACTGCTGTTAAAACTCATTTTTTTAATTTAGCCTTCAAATGGTTTGTTTTCTGTTGCTTTTAACATAATTTTACTTCAACAATATTGCAAAGCACAACTGAATATATCCATAAAGAGGTCTACACTATAGAACTGTAATTATTATTATTACGGTCACCTTTTTATGGTCTGGAAAAATTTCCATACATTTTCTTTTAAAAATCCCCTGTTGATATGGTCACATGTTAATACAGCCAACAGCCACATTTTAAAATCCCAAACAGTAGAATCCTTTTTAATTTCACGCCATTAATGCAGCCACTAGCACTTAATTTAGAAAACCAAAATGCCTGTTACATGTTGATGTGATTGATCTCTGCCCTTTACTAACCAAAGAGCTGATTTGTTTACAAGTAAGCTACACCCATCCCTGTTTTTATTGCAAACATAATAAAGGAAATAGATATTGACACATCTGCATAGGCAACTTGCAAGGTGATCAAGAAATTTGATCCTGCCCTGGTAATATGGCCATCCCGTTAAAACGGCCAATTTGTTTTGGCTCATTGGTGACCATGTTAATGGTTACTAATGGGCTCAAGTCAAAACCAAAACCAAAATCAGCGGGTTACAAGTCAAAACCAGAATTTCCCTAAGGGTAGGGTTTAACACACTGAAACCCGTCATGGGAAGGAGTCTGGGGAACACCTTTAGGATTGCCATTTGGCGTCCTTAGTTGGTATAGCCCTAATTAGTACAAGTCAGTTAAAATGATGTTGTTTTTGGTTTAAAAGTGCAGTTCACGATTTTTTCTGCTATAAAATGTATTTTAAGATAACCCTTTTCCTTTAATCATTGGTTAACATTTACTGTGATAGTTGGGCATGTAATGACAACATAAAGGTAAAAATACTGTCCAGTACAAATTTTAAACTTCTTGAATGTCCTAATTACATTTTTCTTTGAGTATGTCCAAATGACCCAAATAATGAGGGGAAAACTATTAAAAAAAAATTTTGGGACTGCATGAAGTGTCTGCAATTCTGTAACAGGGGAAAGTCACTGGGAGCAGGACTTGTTTTGTCTATAGATACATTTAACTGTAGTTTTAGGAGGGAATCTGCATCATATCATTTATGTTCATAATAATGGGTAAGACCTTTTTTTAATTTTTGGGAGAGAAAACAATTTTAGTGAAAACAAAATGTCCCATAAGGAATTAATCACATAATGATAATTATAGAAGTTCATTTTTAATATGTGAGGCTTAATTGCTCATTAACATAACAGTCACTCAAATCTTCTGTCTCCATAATCTGCAGATGTGCTCTGTGTAATTTGAAGCTGAAAGCAACATATTTTGCTGACTTTTTCTGTTATCTATTCTTGTGAGAAATAACTGGATTGATTGTTCCTTTTGTAATGTTTTAATTAATTCAATCAGTAATGTACATTTGTCATTAAAATTTTTTATGTTGAGTGAATTTCCATCTATGTTGGCCAGAAAAGTTTCTCATATTGTTAAGATTTTCCTTCTTTTGCTTCATGGCAACTACCCTTTGGTTAAATTTGTATTTCCGGTATTTCATTGATACATCATCACATAAAGAAAGAAAAGGAGAAGAATGTTAAACAAGTGTTGAAATTGAACTGCAGCATGCACAAGTATAAACTGAATAACAAAAGCTATTTCACCTGCCTTGAGCACAGTAATTCTTTAAAGCTGATGGCATAATTTATTTTCAAAATTTAAATTGATTTAGTTAGAAGGTCACAGAACTCTTGGCATCAATTTAAATAAATATGAAATGTATTGATGGAAATGATTGAATTTTTAACCCTTTTTTTTGTTGTTTTCTTCCAGAAATTAGGATATAGTCAAGTTGTAATGGACACCAGGAATGCATAATAATGTGATCTGTTGCATCATTGTCTTCGCTGTTCTTTCCTTTGTCCTGAGTTTTATCTCGATCATCTTCCTGTATATTGGAATGCTCCTTAAAGAACAAACGATTGATTGAATTGTGAGTAATGTCTATGCTCTTACTTTCTATTCAGTTTTAGTTATCTCACAATAGTTATAATTTTGGGAAATGGATGTAGCAGCAAACATCTTTTCTTCCTTCTTTTGTCTCATTTACTCTCAAGTTGGTAAAACAACTGATGGTGTGACTGGCAATTTTTATCTTTCATTTTATGATTTATTTCAGAAGTGAGAAGTTTTTTACATAAATAAATGTATTTAAAAAAGTAAGGGTTTACATGTGGCTTCATAACTGTCTCATGCTAAAAAAGGTGTATATGTAAGTACAACTTGAGCAACTGCAGTCGGGAGAAAAAAACAAAATTAAACAAAATCATATACATGTACTTGTTATCAGTTTTCCAAAGTGCAAGGAATTGAAATGAACCATCTGGCATAATTTTAGGATGGGCACTAATTAAAATCAAGGAATTATACAAGGAAACTTTTGAGACATTAAACTCATCTGTAATCTGTGTGAGCCTTAATCCACATTGCGTAATTGCATATAGAAAAGCTGAACTTGTTAAAAGAAAAACATTCCAATTAATCCAGAGAAAAATGTTTTGGAGCTTAGTCAAGGCTTCCTATCAATGAATTTGGTTTGCAGGTGTTTAAGAGTTTAACATTGCCAGACAAAGTGTGACAATCACATGGCAATTTTAACCACTTTAATACATGGTGAGTTCCAATGATAGGCTGTTAATTGGCATGGCAACAATATTTTATTTGATTCTTATCTAATAGCAAGTTGTAGCTTTGTGAGAAACAAAGAATAAATTTTCTTCAAAGAGCTCCAAAGATGGTTGATTAATTATTTCTTTGATCCTGGGGGATTGGATGGAGGGTTTGTAAACAGACTGCTACATCTGTTGCTTTGATTGGATAATTAATGAAAAAATACTTGAGAGACCGTCAGATGACTGATGGAAAGCTATATTTATCATCAGGTGATATGAAGAATTTTTTCTTGAAGTTCCATTTTACATCATTTGACAGCATTGCATGGCTTTTGTTTTCCTTCAGAGATTTTATTTATAGGAAGAAATTTGAGCATAATTTTAGAATAATTGTTCTTTGAGCATTAGTACAATAACTATGTAAAGTCATTTGTCTTTTCAAATCCTTTTATGCTCATTTACTGGTGGTTGATTTTTATAGCTGGAATTTTTGCAAATGCATATCTATTTATAACTTCAATTGCAGTTCATTCAGATAACCAAGCAGAGTCATAAGGCTTACATGCCTTGCTTTTTTTTTTTTAATGAATCCTTCCCTTTTCCTTCTTTACCCCCTTAAGACTCCCAGAACTACACTTGCTTAAACCTTTTTTTCTTTTTTTTCTTTTTTCACTGTTTAAGTTTTAAAAGTTACAAGTTGAAGGGAACTAAGTTTTATATGCTAGGATGTGCTATTATTGTTGGAATATTTTCCTTTAGTTAATGCCTCTTTTAAAATTTCAATCTCTTCTTTCATCAGTGACACTATTGATCACCATGTTGGCCCAAATTCTGCGCGATATGTACGTAGATCCTGAGCTGCTGGCTGAGCTTCCAGAAGAACAGAAGCAAATTCTTTTTGTAAAAATGCGAGAGGAGCAAGTGCGACGATGGCGTTTACGAGAAGATGAACTGGAAAAGAAAGAAGCAATGAATCCACCAAAACCACGTCCACAGAAAGGTAAGTTTCTACTTGGACTTGCAGTGGTTTTTCCTGAGAAGGGTGGGGGGGGGGGGGGGGGGTGAGAGGAAATATGGGTGTCCTCATGTGTGTATTTGTACATTGCAGTCAAATGAGTGCAGTGGAAGTATGGCAGGGTTATGTTGTGCTTGACTTGAACATGAAGTTCACTCATCCTGTCAAACAAACTAAACACACCATTGTTACAACGCATAAAAAAGTCATAGCAAATGCCACAGAGAATTTTTATAAGAAGTGTCTTTTCTCAGGAGACAGAGTAAAGCTTTAAAGCAAGCATTTTGATGTGCAGCTTTAGGGAAAAGTAATAAAATAACATAATCTCAATACTGCTTCCTACAAGTCACTATAAAGTAATAATTTGTTATCATAATTGATTAATTTGATTTCCCTCCCCCAGCAAATGCAAAATGTGTAGAATTTTTGATTGCTGTTGATGGAAATCCATGGGTTTGGGTACTAGGAGAAGATGATGATGACAAACAGGATTTTGAGGCAGTTTTAAAGAGTAAGTGAATTAATATGCTTCCCTGCTTAATATATACAAAACTTGGCTTGTTTGGAACAACAGCTTGTTTTTAAAAGAAATAGAACCATTGCTGACTGTAGAGGTTGCTTTGAGGAGTAGAGTTTTTACTATTTGTGTAAACTGAAATTTTTGAACCTGAAGAAGTTGTGAACAGGTAAGAGAGTCAGCTACTTCATCAGGTTTGCATTTTTACTGACCATTTTTTTGTGAAGGGCTGGTTACCTAAAAGGGACAATGCAGTTGTACCTGTCTTGTACCTGTGCTTTCTTATAGCTGGCTACAATATATTTTCTAACACAGTTCAATACTTTCAATTTACCTAGTTCCCAAAATTGGGATGGCTTCCTTAGCTCAAGAATTGGAAGAGAAACAAAGAGGTTTACACTGAGATGTTCAGAATTTTAGTTAAGAATACTTTTACAAACAAAAAGTGAAAGCTTGGAAGGTTTATACATTGTTGGCTGGAATACTTAGCCTAAAAATGGTTCACGGTCGTTTCGATACAAAGTCGTTTCAATTCAAGTCGTTTCGATACAAGTCAAAGTCGATTCGTTACACATGTAAATTTGATTTGATACAAACTGAAGTTGTTTCGATATATGAAAAGTTCAGTATAAATGTTAGTTTTTGTCTTTGATATGTGTGGTAATTTGTTATTTTCTATTCAACAAATTAGCTCAAATTCGACCCAATTCGATCGATCGACGTTGTTGTAATTTCCAGTTTCCCCACGACTCAATTGACCGAGTTGTACAACTCGGTTTCCCCTCGCCCAAAAAGAAAAAACTTTATGTCCGATGGGCGGTGAGGAAGGCAGATTAGGAGGAAGCTGGGACTTTCCAGAGGTATGGAGGTAAAGGTTTGTTTTATTTACAACGGAGGTTTGTATTTGCTCTAGTGAGTATGTCTTTAAAGGTTCGTTTGGTTCGTTTGGTCATTTATGTATAGTGTAGTATTCTGTACCGAAATGACTTGAAGTAACGTGAGTTTGTATCGAATCGACTTTACATGAGTAACGAATCGACTTTGATTTATATCGAAACGACTTTGTATCGAAATGACCGGATTCCCTGAAAATTGTCTTTGGTGACAATTAGCAGATTTCTCATGAGTAATAAAAACTTCTTAATTCATTCTCATCTCCTTCAGTGAAAAGCACTCTTAATTCATGCTACTTGCGCAGGCTATTGGGAAGTGATAAAAAGCAAGGATTATTTTATTTCAAACTGCTCTGTACTTTCAGCTCTAATAATGTCACTATCAATAATTTTTTAGAGAAGGAATTAGAAGCTCTGGCTGAAGATGAAAAGAAGGCAAAAGAACTTGCACATAAAGAAATGGAAGAGATAAAAAGAAAGGAATTTGAGAGGCAGGAGGAAGAAAGGAAACTGAAGGAAGAAGAGGCGAGGTTGGCCAGGGAAGCGGCTGCAAGAGAAGCTGAAAAGAAAAGACTTGAAGAGGTCAGGAAAGATGCAAACTCAGGGTTTAATAACTTTGCAAAGTCTACTTATAGTATGTTTTCATAGCATGTAGTTATGTTTCGTCAGCTCACTTGTTCTTGGCTATCATCTTTTTTTTCGTACTTTGCAGTCCCTTTTTATCAAATGAGTTGCAGGATCTTTTTGGTAATTCGTAATCTTGGGTTGGCTTTGGGAGAATATTAAGGCTGATGCTTATTTATATGCACAATTGGTTACTGTATAAATGTCTGTACATACATGAAAATCATATATGTGAACTGCGGTTGAAGAAACGAATATGGAAGTGATCCTCGCAGTTCTGAACACTACTGAAGTAGAAGTGAAAATAGGGCCTAAAAAAAATTTAAGGCCCGTGCGGGATTTGAACCCATGACCTCTGCCCATGACCCATAACCTCTGCAAAACCGGTTTCACCGAGGTCATAGGTTCAAATCCCGTACGGGCCTGAATTTTTTCAGGCCGTATTTTCTCTACCACTTCAGTATGTTCATAACTGCGTGGATCGCTTCCATATTCGTTGATTACTGTATGTTTAAGCTTCTTTAAGAACTCTTTTCCTTGAAGAACCACCACTTTTAAATTACAGTCGCATTTTATGGACACGTTGTTTAGGAAAGGGGGTTTTTTTGGATGCAATTTTATTTGTCGTCAATAAGTACCCTGGTTTTTTTTTTTTTTTTTTTTGAGGGAAATAAGAAGCATCGCTCGGGATACATTTGCCTGTTTTAGACCAAACGAAGTGATTTATTTCATGTTGATGCCACAGGAAGCAAGACTAGCTGCTAAAAAAGCGGAAGAACTGAGGAAGGAGGAGGAAAGGAAACGTCAAGAAGAGGAGAGAAAGAAAAGAGAAGAGGAAGAACGCAGGAGAGCAGAGGAAAGAAGGAAAAAGGAGGAGGAGGAAAAGAGACAAGCCGAGGCAAGAGAGAAATGGAAGGCAGTTGAAGAAAAACGAAAAGCCGAAGAAGAGAAGAGAAGAATTGAATTGGAGAAAAGAAAGCAAGAGGAAGAACTCGCTCGAAAGAAAGCAGAAGAGGCTGAAAGAAGAGCTGAAGAAGAGAGAAAAGTAAGGGAAAGAGCTTTGGAGGAGGCAAGAAGAAAGAAGCAAGAGCAGGTGACAAGATTTCTTTTGGTTTTAAATTGTTACTATGTTTGATATTTGAATTCACAGTCAAATACCTTTCCCTAGGGAAGAAACGTACAGTATTACTTTTTGGAACTCCTTCCATTCATTTCCCATTTTTTTTTTATGAAAGTCGTTACGCATTTTCAAGCCACAAGTGATTACCTACGCATCAACTTCACCAGACAATCCGACTCAAAAGCCCTTCGTCTTGAAACGACAAGGTCAAATTATCTCCAAACCCCCCCCCCCTCCCCTAAAGGTGCGATTTGATGAGCGCACCGAGCATTTTTGAGTTGTGTATTTAACGTGCCTTAAAGAAAACCAAAACCCTTATTATGTAGCAGCACAGTTTTGCGTGACAATCTTTTCAGCTTTGATTCTTTGACGCAAGCTGTTTACTTTGATCTTGAGTCATGGGGGAATCTGTGTAGTCTTTGCTGAATCAAAGCTAAGTGCTCGATGGAATTTGAACTTTTGTTTTATCGTGTTGTAGGAAGCGCTTGAAAAAGCTCGAAAACTGGAAGAAGAGAAACGAAGGGTAGAAGAACAACAAAAGGAAGCAGAGAAAAAACAAAGAGAGGTGATAGAGCGCTTACAACAAAGAAAGGCAGAGAAAGAACGCCGAGATAAGGAACTGTTGGAAAATGAATCTAAACGAGCACAAGAGATATATGCGAGCTTGAGAAAGGCACGAGAGGCGCTAAAAAAGAAAGAGGACGATCAAATGCAAAAAGAGGAGGCAGCATGGAAGGAACAACAAAAGAAAGCTGACGATGAAGAAAACCGAAGGAGAAGCTCTGTTAGTGTAGCGCGGAGGGAAGTCTTAAGAGAGCGAGAGGAGGCGAAGAGGAGAAGCATGATTGAGCCGACACGAAGGAAATCAGTTAGTGCAAAACCACAGAGACCACCGCCACCCGTACCTTCAAGGTATGCGTATGGTGTCTCCAGGTTGTAAGTGTCCTTCAGTATATACTGTGGCTGTGTTTGTCAGATCTCCGTACATATCATTATGGGAGACTGTTCCTCTATTTCACGCGCCTCTTACACATTAGATTTCCTTGGATTTAGAAGTAGCTTAAGTGCTCATTTCCGGATAATTACAAAGCGAAGAGAATTCTTAAGAGAATACCTTGAGTAAAGGATGACCAAAGCCAAAAATGTTGAAAGAAATGACTCGTTATGACTGAATTGCTGTTGTTGTTATGTGTTAAATATTGTTGTTTAAATCCACAGACCCAGTGATGTCAAACCTGCGGCTCCCCCCAGACCTCCTCCGCCAAGCAATACTACTCCTCTCAGGCCAAGAAGGAGTGTCAAACCAAAAAGTAAAAAGAACGTTATCGAGTGGTTTCGGCAAGAAGAGCTAGCAAAGAGAATTTGTTACGACGGCGATCAGATACTACCTTATTTTCACGGTGAGAATCGGAGCTTTGGGATGTGTAAATACTTAAAGCAGGTGTACATAGACTGTGTGGGAGTCTGTAACTATTATCGCTGGGCAGAACAATTACAACTAATTTATATTTTACTTTTTTTTCAATATTTTGTTTGTGTGACTTCAGTTACTGTCTGCACATAGACTGTGTGGGAGTCTAACTATTCTCGCTGGGCAGAACACTTTAGAACTACTTCATATTTTACTTTTTTCACTATTTGTTTGTGGGATTTCAGTTACTATCTTCGGGAATAATAATAAGACATCAAACAGTCAGTTTACATAAGCTGAGATGTTGTCGACTACTAGTGTGAAGGAAAAGTTATTTGCCAGTCGCAAAGTAGACTAACCTGTGATGTATCTTCTTTTTTTTTTTTCTTTTTCAGGAATAATCTCCCGACAGGATGCTGAAAATTTGCTCGTCAATAAACCACCGGGGTCGTTTTTGGTTCGCGTGAGCGAGAGAGTTTGGGGTTATACTATAACTTACCGTGCACCGGAGCGCTGCAAGCATTATCTGGTCGACACCAGTGAAAACACTTACCAGTTTTTTGGCCACAATCAGATCGCTCATGAGACTCTCAAAGATTTAGTGGAATTTCATAAACAGAGACCAATCACTGGAGTGGGACAAGAACTTTTGAAAATCCCTTGTGGTCAGGACTGCAATCCCCCGGATTATCAAGAGCTTCTTCCTCCTACACAGAAGTCTGATTCTTTCTCCACAAAATTTTAATAGTCAACCAATCAAGAGAGGTATGGGGAGAGCATCCATGGTGCATGTAGAAGGGACAACAGGTTGTTTAAAAGCCAACCAAACATGGTTATGTTGCCGACAGTGTGTCAGCGGTGAACACCTTACACTTCTCCCTACATTTAGCTATTGTTAGTTATTTGCATTAAATCACGATAAATTTTCACGGGGTGGTTCAAAATTTATTTTCCTTGCTTAGCTTACCTTCCTTAGCCATGCACTAATTGTGTTTCAGTGGTCACTATGAAATTTAAATTCCCCTGAGCTTTTTTCCACTCAGAAAGAGGTACGGAAATTGGGGCCTCCTTCCTTGAAAATTTTTGAAACGGATGGGTGTTTGCGTTCAGTGGTTTGTTGTATCCTTAATTTCTTCATTAGCAGAAAGACCTTAGTTGTAAGTGATTATTGTTTAGTTGAGAGTCATTTTATGATTCCTCTCTTTTGCTTTCTATTTAATATCAACCGAAGTAAATTGTAAAAAAAAAACAAGCAAACAATATCATTAAGCCCCATTTGCATCTAAATGGAGCGGTGAGAACTTTTGAAAACGAAGCAAATATGCCAAATTATAACCTTTATAGCTAAAAATTTATTAGGAAATTAACGAAATATCCCTGAAATTATGCTCAATTGAAAGAGCACAATAGATCTTTGAAAATTCGTTTTATAATTATTCCGGTTGAGCTGAACTGTAACATTAATCAGACCTGCGGCGTAGATAGCTTTAGCGTCAATATTGTTGCAATTGCAAGGGAACCCAAACTATTTTGATGTGCACGCAAAAGTCAAATACAAAGCTTTAAAAGAAATAAACTTAAACATGTGAAACTCACCGATTTTCGTTAAGAAAAAGAGATGATGTGATATTACGATATTCAATTGGATTGGAAAAAAATCTTAATTTTATAATCAGATTTGATTTTACAACGCCCATGTTTGAAATACGTAGTGACCTCGTATTGCAATTAGTTCTCACTGACAAGGTCAACTTACTCTGTATTTTCAGATTATTTTATTTTTCTTTGTTGAAACTTTTTGACAGCAGAGAAACTGATTTGATAAGCCTGTGGTTTAAAGGTCAAGGTACTTTTTAGTTAGAGGATAATCTTTCCTTCACCCTCTTTATTGGGGGAACAACTTTGCGCCAATAATTACGGATTTAAACTGAAATCTTTCCTGATGATTTCTCAGCGAAATCGCTGTTATCCAACCGGGAAAGAAGTATTTCATAGCCCTGAATAATAAATAAAGAGAATCTGTATTGTTGAAAATGTTTGTTGACTTCCGCTTTTGTGCCGCTTGTAAAGGGGCACTGTTCGTACTAAATTGTCTTGAACTTGACAAATTATTCGTTCGAGAGGCCAAAGAAGCCTCGAGCGCAAGAGCGAATTGTCGGTTTAAACTTAAATGTTTTCGTCGTTTGACAGAACAACACTTATCACAGGCTATTTGAGCGACTCTTATCCACCGCTTGTTAAACAAAACTTTGTCTCTTAAATAATATGCAATTAGGCTCTCAATGGGGTGCCGCACTGCAAACGGCCAAGCAGCAATAAATAAGCTGCTGAGGGGCCCAACAGAAAAATATTTTCGGCTTCGTAGCCTGCCGATACCTAAGCATTAAACAGAGCCAGCTAGCTCCAAGCGTACTCCTATTCCAAGACGGTAACAAAACATGCTTATTTTTAAGTTTCAGTTCCAGGACCATTTGCCGTTCTCAAAAAGGTCCACACATAAAATCACATTTGATTCTCGTTTCACTCAATCAACTGGACTTGACAGAGTTCGCATTAATTAAGCTTTAGAAATCCACGTCTTTCGTGGAGAAGGTTAGGTACAGCTGTTGTCCTGTAGAAACCATTCCACAAGCTGCCATGAGCAGCCCAAAACATACGATGAAAACGTTCAGAACAATTTCGTACCACCTTAACTCCCAGTAAAAAATTTTTACGTAGAAAACGGAAGGAAAAACCAGCGCTATCGCAGTACCTGTACCACTTCCAATAAATGCAGCAAAAAGAGTGAAGTGCGGAATAATAACTGCCATCAGGATGGTGATTGATGTCAGCACGAAACGCAACAACACCACACACGGACGATTAGGTCGGTGTCCATCCTGGTTTAGAAATCTGGCGGTCAAATACCGGGGGGCTGACTTCTCCACCATGTCGAACACCGCAAACATAGGGAGGGAATAACCTGAAAAGGACAGGACGGTTATCACAATGTTCACAGTGATGCGATAGAGTCCAAGTGGAAGGTTGTTGGACACCATGTCACTGACACTGCCTGAGAAGGTCAAATAACCAAATGCTCCAACGCCGATCTTTAGCGCAGTCATAGCGATATAAGCGTAGTTGATGACGGCGTTGAACTTTTCAGGACATCGCATGTTTCCCTCCAGCACGGTCAGGTAAATTTGAGACGAGAAGCTGGCCAAAACTACTCCGAGTGCCAGGGGAAACCGGACAGGGTCGAAAACTTGCAAATCCTCCGCTTTCCAGGAAGCGCTATGACCCAAGCAATAAGCAACTATGATGGAGAAGTTTGTCAGGGCAAAAAATATGGTAAGCATGCTGATCTTGGAAAGTAATTTCACAGAGCTCAGGAAAACGTTGGGAATCATAGCCAGGCCGAAAATGAGGATCCAAAGCTGCTTTCCAACGGGAAGGTAAGGAACGATGTAATAAATGGCCTCCCCACAAGCTATTGGATTCACAGTTGCAACAAAAATTAATTCCAGAAACTTTGTCGCATCGACCATGAGTCTTCCGTACTTTGGCCAGAAAGCATCTCCGATGTCAGCGAATGTATTACGTACACGTGTTCGACCTTTACCAGGAAATTGCTCATAGAGGCACTGAATGAGGATTTTTGAGGTATAGTTAGAGAGCACTGCAATGGCTGTAATGCCAAAAAGAAACCAGTACCCACCAAACGACGTCACAAGAGGCATCGCCAAGATGGTAAGCCCTTGAACGGAGTTACACGCGTTCCAAAATGTATCCATGGTTGATATTTTCTTCATCTCCTCAAACGTCTCGTCCAAGGTTTTTTCGTGGGGGTAGCTTTCCTCATCTAGACTCTCTTCAAGGATGTGGTATCCTTCTTTTAACGGCATTTTTCACAACTGAATTTAACGAATGTTTAAATTTGGCGTGAAAAACGTGCTGTTCTGTGAACGATCAGCAAAAAATGAAGCGAATATTTGCGCAGTGCAAACGTTAATATATGCCAGAAAATTTCGGCAGATGCACGCGAGAATGCGCTTGGCTTCATTACTGACTATCGTGTATTTCGTGCAAGAGTTCATGACTTAATTATTAGCTGACGACTGCTGGACTGGCCGATTGGATTCTACTTCAGTTAGAAAAATTGACTTATGTTTTAGTGTCTGTCATTCAAACACAACACTTTGTCGTGATCAGTGGGCTTTAAAATGTGTCCTTTGGCCCATCTCTCGAAATTCTCGGGGGCTTTATGGGCGCGAAGCCATATTTTAAGATCTACATCTAAGGAACAGTTTCCAATTTTTTTAAATTTTAATTTCAAAACTTTTGATACCTCGCTCTTAAATGTAAACATGGACAACGAAAAGACGGCTATTGGTATCGCTAACTAGCTAGACGAAGAAAACGGGCCTTAGCAGGGACCTTGAGTGTCTCCGCTCAAAACCATTAATTTCTTGAAACAGAAATCTGTAATGAGCTCGGACATCCATCTCACGCTTTGCTTAGCGCCAAATCGAATTTACTGGTTGTATATGCTCTGGCGGAATCATTGTAACGAAGAATGAGGTGGTTTTCACTTCACCGGAAAGTACAGCTGGATGCCAAAATCAAATTGCCTAAAACAGTTTTGTTAGGTTCAGAATTTTAAAAAACAATATCAACATTCAGCTGATCTGCTAATATACGTTCATTACTTCCGATGCCAAGCTGGTTCAGAAGCTTTTTATAATACAGCTTCACTGTAGAAAAGAAGTCGTGGTGATCTTTTGATGAATAGTTGATTGAGTATGCAAAGTTTGTATGAAAAGACGTTTATTGTTAAACTTCTTTATGGGAGGGATTATTCAGACTAAAAGTTATCTGTGGTCTCCTTCTGTGATCATTTAATGAGTAACATGCAGTTGATTTTGGTACAAAGTTTTAACTGATTTTCTGAAAGGCGCCGGCCGGACCGGCCTCTTTTGGAGAAATTCATTCTTGAGAGAGCGAACAGTTTCTACAGTAACACGCAAAAGGACAATAAGATGAAATAAAGATGATAATGTCAATTGTGATTATGAAAACCATGAATATGGTCAACAACAAAATGTACCAAACTTTTTTACCGTTACAAGGTATTTCATTTTTGTGTCAGGAAAGAATAAAGCCGTCCATCCTAAAGGCTATGTTTAGCTTGCAGGGTGAGACAAAATCATGTTAAATTTGAAACAATTAGCACAGCATCATATGATACTAGCCGCTGCCAAGAATACCTAGCTCAATGTTTTTTTTAAAACAGATCACTATGGTTCCCTTAAAAATTAGCCAGAGAAATTTAAACTCATGACAAAACCTCGAAGAAGTCCCCATTTTAACAGCTTATTGCGGCTTATGAGCAAGACACAGGTGTCTATCGACATACAATCAGCCTTACGACTACTCCCAGGACATTGAAAACTCCAAATGAAATAAGTCCTTGTCCACTGTAGTAAAAAGGTTCTGAGATTGTCCTTCGATGAACATAAATCTTCACATGTGGCACTCGGTGGACTTCAGACCCCGCTATACAGTCGACAGATGATGGTGGAAATATTAATCAGAACTCGTTATTTACCCCTTGAGCCTCAGGGACATAAATAAGGAAGGCATTCTAGTAAGCCAGAGCTTGTTGAGAAGGAGTATGCAGTCTATGTTTAGAATTCTTATAAAAGGTATGGGTGTAATGAACAGAGAAGGTTATCAAGAGAAGGAAGAAGATAAAGTAAATCTTTTGGACGAATGTGAACAGTATGATATCAGAGATCAACAGGAGGAGAACACTTCATGTGATGAAGGTACTTTTGCCTCGACATTTGAGACATTTTGGAACATCTGCAACACAATTCAAGGTTTACCAATCTTGGTCATACCTTACGCCGTGAAAAATGGTGGCTACTTAGCCATACTTACTCTTTTGCTAGTCGCTGCTGCCTCTAATTATACTGGGAAAATCATTGTTCGGTGCCTCTATGAAACCGATCCAAAGAGCGGTAAACGAAAAAGGGTCCGCGGTTCCTATGCAGATGTCGGCAATGCTTTCCTGCCAAACATAGGAGGTCATCTCGTCCTTGCTACTCAGTTTATAGAGTTGCTTTTTGTTACAGCAGTTTATCCTCTTTTGGTCGGTAAATTAATTGCAAGATCGTTTCCCCATGTTGCTTTTCCTTGCTGGCTCTGCACACTCATTGGCGGTATACTTTTTGTTCCAAATGTTTTTCTTAAAAACCTTTCTCAGGTGGCATGGACAAGCATCTTAACGGTACTTTCCGCTAAAGTTATTTTTGTCACCGTTGTTACGTACAGCTTATTGCATGTACAAAAATGGGAAATAAGCTCCTTGGAAAATTTCGACGCCAGTACATATCCATCAGCTTTAGGAGTCCTTGTAGCAAGTTATCTGTCGCAGCCATTTGTATCACTAATCGAAGGTAGCATGCGCCACAAGGAAAAGTTCAACTCAGTGATTAATTTGTCTTATGTAGCGATGACATTACTTAATGTCACCATTGGAGTAGTCGCTTACATTTCATTTGAAGTCGATACGGCTGAAGTTATAACAAATAGCTTGCCAGAGGGTTCATTCCGAGCAGCAGTGAATGTGATGGCAGCAGTACTGTCCTTCACGTCTTACACACTGCCAATGTTCACCATATTTGAGATCATTGAGAACTCCTCTCTGTTTTTCTTTCCAGGAAGCTATGGTAAATCAATCTTCACTCCGTCTGTAATTACATTTCGTTTGTTAATGGTATCTATCAGTGTAATTTTTGCTGCTGCTTTCCCTTCCTACACTTATATATTGGCCCTTGTGGGAAGTATCGCTGGTATTAGCTTGGAGTTCATATTTCCTCCCTTGTTTCATATGAAGATGTACTTCCAGGACATGACATGGTGTAACATTGTGGTTGATAGTGTTGTGGTAGTGGTTGGTGTTATTGTGATGGTCACGGGAACTATATCCTCTCTTCTCTCCTTGATTGAAGTTTACAGTCGACCAGGTAATGGTGTATGTGCTTGAAGAGGCAGCTGACAGATTGTAAAAGTTCTCACGGTGTTGTTATTGCTGGCTTTAAGTCAAGAAAAATGGCACAGAGAGACAAAAGGGCATAGCAAGGTTGCGTCCTTTGATAACTTTCCAGCTGTTTTTCAGATATTCGTTCCTTAGTGTATTCATTAGGGGCAAAAATAAATGGAATTCTCGGTGAAACATAGCTTACAACAATAAATGTAGGTTTGTTCAATTTTTTTTCCCCTCTTCATGTTTAAAATCTTCTCTGTTCCTCGCCAATTCTGCGTTAACCAAGCCAGTCAAATCAGTCCTTTTCGGTTTCTTAGTTTTAAAAACCTTTATTGACATATTTTGGAATAAATTTCCCTGTGCAACGGGCCTAAACGAGCCTAAATTAAGGTATAAAATTTAGAGGGCTGCTTTCACTGCAAATGCTTTGTTCAACTTTGTATCTATTGGTGGCAATTTATAAGCGTAACCATTTATTTTCAAATTAGCATTTATTCATGTAAGATGTTATTCCAGATACCATTGCATAATTCAGCTTAAATAAAGTAATAGTGCATTGGTGCATGTGTCCATCACTGCTACTATGGTCGTTTCTGTGAACACAAACTAAACATCGAAAACGTCAAGAAGTTGTGACTCTAATATGCTGATTCAAATTGTCAATAAGTCAATAACCTAGTCAGTAAGTTCGCGAATCAGTCGGTCAGTCGGTTAGCCAGTCGGTTTATCAGTCAATGAGTCAGCGAGTTAACCAGCTAATAAATAAGTCACTCTGTCACCGACCACGTCAGTTACAAGATCTTTGAGCGAAAATAATTTGAAAGTCAATTGCGTTCATAAACGAGAGGCTGAAATTTGTCTAACCTGACTTCCGAGTCCGATTGTGAAGAGCATAAGGAACAACATCATAGCCCAAACGGGTGCAGCCGGCATCTGAGCAATCTCCTCGGGATAAGCCACAAAACCCAGACCAGGTCCTACAATTTAATTAAAACAAATTTCTTTCATTTTTCAATCCTAGAGTAAATATAAAAAATTGATCTACTAAAAAGAGGCTAGAGTCCAAATTCCGCAGAAAATATGTATTCAATTTGTTGAATACATATTTATATATTTATATGTTGAATATCATATTTATTGCCACTTCCCTACCAAGGGTGTGGGCCATTAGGCCAACTACACTAAAGATGGAAAACCTTCCGCCCATACTGGTTGCACAATTGCCATACGATACCACAACCGAGTCCGTGGAAACAAACAAGCACAAGTCAGGTTTATATATGTAATGAAATGTCATTCAAGTCGCCGAGACACTTTTGTTATTCAGAGTCTTTCGTATTATGTGAAACAATAGAACCTCTTGTTAGTATACGGAGGTCAACTTTCTTACTATTTCCTAAAGGTGAATGTACTAGAAGTACTAACTCATTTATCTGACCATTTTAAGCAACATGTGATGAGCGAAAGAGAAAGCGCTGTGTATAGAGTTTACTGCTACTACTACTAATAAATGTCTTTATTGTTCATTGGAGAAAAATACATATCTAATGTTGCTGGATAAAAAGATTCAAGGTTCAGCCAAAAATTACAATAGAATAAAAAGAATAAAAAGATCAAACTAGATCAATATATCTGGCATAAAATACTATAAAAGGTTGTATTTAAAAATTAATCTATTTACAAATGTGTTCTTATAAAGTTCAGTGTTTATCTTAGGCCACTGGCAGCTTTTACGTCTAAGAGAATTCCATGCAGAGCACCAGGCAAATTGACGCCACGGATAAGACGTATACAAAGAGAGAGATAATGGAAGATAGCCGCGAAGTAGGCCATCTGTGATCAGGGAAGAACGCGACATTGACCTAAAAAACATAATAAACCTATGGATTGTCTTGATCTAGGATTCCATCGATTGCTTCCGGTAGAATGATTCCCTGGATAAACAAGACGTGTAGGACAAGGTAAAGTAATATGGTTATGAAACAGGCCACCTTGAACGGATGACGTACTTTATCCCCATATTCCCTTTCATGTGATCGAGGTTCTCTTTTACCCAAGTATTGTCTAGTGGCGATACAACCATTCAGACTCAAGAAGTTATATTCACCACGTTTCTCTCCGGTTGAAACTTCATTAGTCCTACTAAGTTAATGATTTTTATAACAGCACAACGAGAAAAAATCTTTAATCCTCGCGAGTGAATCTGAAATGAATTTTGTTAGACTGTGCATTTTTTTTTACCTTTCCAGAGCTCTTGATGCATTTATGGATGCAAAAGAAAACAGCGACCCATGCGATAAACAAAGTGGTGGCCAGCGGTACACGGATCTCACCCGCTTCACAACATATCATGAAATGAAAAAGATTTGTTTGCATAATGGCTATTCATGCAAACAAACAAAATTACCTCTCAGGCCATGACAAAAAAATATCCCTATTATTCGATAAATCTTTTCCTTCTTTTCCATTAGCCAAGAGCTAACCACGTAAACTGAAAATATCTGACTTTACGTAGAAGAGAATTCCATCCAGGGCACCAGGCAAAAGTGGTTTAGCTGACTAATTTTTGTCGTTAATATTATTCTGCTCATGTGTAATTGTGTACATGCTACTGTGTGTAGAATGATTAACCCAGCCGTAAATTTTGACTAGTCATTAGTTTGATTGCTTGGAAAAATCAGGCAGTTGTAATTTCTTGAAGGCAAATTAATTCAGGGTTAATCAAAGACTGCTAAGGCGCCCTTACAAGTATTGCAGTGCGCGACATTGAGAACTGCAGTACCTCACAAACATAACCAGGAAATTTGGACTTAAGATAAGCGAATCGCTAAAAAGTAACACTTACTCCCAGAATTCCTGGCTAGGAGAGATTGCAGTCAATGAGCAACTGACAGCCGTGCAGTTAGCAGTGGAATTTCTAAAGCCCTCACCAGGGAAAAAATATTAAGTTGTCACAACTGAGGTCATTGCTAACAGCAATGTTATGTTTTAAAGGGTCGAGGTCTTAATTAGGGTAGATTAGTGTCATTTCCTTTACAAAATAAGAGAAAATAGGAACATAAAGATTACTTGCTGAGTTAAAGTAAGCATTGGTCCTTAATTAGTTATTTATTCTGCACAAAGTTCGCGCAACTTTCTTCTTGAATTACCCGTAAATAAAATACTTTTACAAGTTGTTATTTACCTACAAAACGGAGTGTTCCACGAGTTGTGCAAGACTTCCACGGGTCAACAGCAGCAAATGAATGGTACAGATATAAAAGACTCCAAGAAATAACGTTGTAGTAAACAGAGATCGGGAAGGAAATAATCACCATGGCAACTCCAATACATGCAATTAAAAGATGACGTCTATTTGGGCCGCCGCGAGGTGTCAGCGGTGTAAGGCGTACTTTGCCTCATAACAATTGAAGCAACATGTTACTCTATCGAATGTGGAAAGTCCTTATACAATATTGGGCACCTGAGAACTTTTGGGAGTCTATCTGAATTTCTGCCCATGACAATCATCAGAGGTTCAGTTTTTGAAAGTTTCTTAACTGGTGCGACGACTTCCGCAGCTTGTTAAAATCAGGTTTTCTGTAAAGCCTGACGCCACAAGGCTTTGGAAGTTTTAAAACATTCTCAGAGATTCTCAGAAGCAAGTTGAGACATTTTCGGAAAGCTGAAAGGTATAGTATTATGGGTAAAGTCCGGCTCAAATCATAGCGTGACTAAAACAATGTTTTATCTGACAAGTTGAAAGTTGCAAAGTTGTCTACTGGAGGGTGATGTATAATTACGTTTTTCTCCAGTTTTGTGTTTGCTTATTTTTCCTTATCTAATTGTGATATCTCCAGCTAATCTGAGAGCCTGAACACTATTAAGGATATCGTATACAGCACAAACCTTTAAGCGCAGGGAAAATAATAAGATTTGAAGTCTGTTTTAATATTCTCTATTCTTTTCATGTCTTAAGTATTTTGTTTATCTTCGCAAAGTATAAGTTCAGTCTCCATGAAAAAATATTTTCAAGACTCTATACAGCCTATACAAATCGGTGGAACTCTTAAACCCGTTACTAGGGGTTTGCGTAAGGACGACAGCTTCGTTGAGAAGAGCATCAATCAAAAACTGAATTTCCGCTTTTCTATAAAGCTTAAGATATATTTAGATTAAATCATTCTTTCGAAGTTACTTCGGAAAGACTTATATCTTACTCTCCATGTAACCCTGAATTTTAATTTTAAAGAGCAGAGTCACTGTTTGTGCATCTAAAACAAATTTACCGCGATTTAGCATAGACATTTCTAGTTGTTTATTCGCAATTCGTTTCTATATCTCCTCTATTCTTGTTCCATCTTGATTTACGCATTGGTTCCTAGGAGTTTTTTATTCATTTGCAATTCGTATCAATCTTCTCCATCCTTACTCATCCTTTTCCGCTCTGGTTACTTCTCACCTCTTTTTGTGTTTTCTATCTTACTGAACTTATATTTTGTAGTCATTTGTAGTCTTCTCCAATCTTAGTCATCCATCTTCCTTCTTTGATCATCGTTACTTTTTGTGTTTGCAGTTTTATCAAATTATTACTCTGAAGTCATTTACAATCCTTGTCAATCTTCTTCATCCGTAGTCATCCTCGTTGCTTTTGAATTTCATTGTCGCCTAGCTCTTCTGTGTTTGCGTGTCTTACTAAACTGACATTTGGTAGATTCCCTCGAACTGAAGACAGTTTTTCGAGGCACAAAATCTGACACTGCATGTCACGATTGAACTTCTTTGAGTTGCAAAATTTTTGCAACTCTAAAAGTGAGCTCTTATAAACCTAACCTAAACTCCTAAAAAAAAAGTTGTGGTAGATATCTACACTTAAAGAAGTTACCTCCGCCGTTCTTGTGACAAAGATACGGAAAACGCCAAATATCCCTCAGGCCGACAGCATAACCGATACATGACGCGCTCTTCATCATGGCTCGCATCGGAGCTTTCGCCCACCATTATAACAACAGGTTTGGACCTTATTCGTCATTTGTTCAGCTTATAACATTAATTTCTTAACATGATTTTCCAAATTCAAGCTCACATTTTCGAATGAATCTGCTTCCTTGTTGACGGAAACCAAAGCTAGAAGTGATTATGATGTCATAGAAGGTAATGAAGCAATCATTTGCTGACGTCATCGATCAGCTGATTGTTATGGCTGGAAATTGAGTATAACTGACAAATATCCCGAACTTTCTCTTGATTGAGCAGCTCTGTGATGAATCTACTTCTTTATTTCATTAACGAGCTCAAAATGACTAACCTTAATATCTTATTCTGTTCCTCACATGACACTTTCGACATGGATATCGTAGCAATTCACAGGACACGTCATAAATGAACCTCGTAATGGCCTGTTTCTGTGGCTGACTGGTAGATTGCGAAAACCACCATTAAAATGGCATCGCAGACACAAAAATTCACATAACACGACGGTTCAACTACAAACTTTAATTGGCTCACGTGATAATCGAATTCGCTACTTGGTAAAGTTTAACAATTTAAAACAATGTATGTGCGCGCGCTTTGCCACAG